GTGGAGGGAACACAAGGGGTGCTAGTGGAGGGAACACAAGGGGTGCTCCCTAGGCCCTAGACTAGTAGTAAGAGCTGCCAATGGGAGTTTATACGGTCCTGGAGCACTTTCTCTTGTGTGGAATATTAAGTTAGCCAACGCATGCCTAGCCTCCAGTGGCCCAGCATTTTTAACGGCATTCAACGAGCTACGATTCCGTTGCAGCAGCGCTGTGCCACGATTGAGGCAGCCCTGTGCTGGTGGGTGGGAGACTCATGGTGGGTGGCTGTGGCTACAGCAGCTGTCAAAAGCTATCCTTGACGTCGCTACAAGGCATGCCTGGACGGAAGATTGGGTTGCCTGGCTTGAGGACCCACTCGCCGGCGGTCGCATGCGGAGAAGGCTGTTCAAACAGCCTGCTATGGTCTGCCTTGATGAGTCCTGCCTGGCACATAAGTCTTCTGGGGCTTGGCCACTTTCCCATCAACTGCTGGAACTTCCTGCCATTGTTGTAGTGCAATGTATGCTTGTCTGGTGGAACCTCTGGGTCTTCTTTCTGCTCTTCCTCTTCTCCTTCTTGACCTTGCTTCTGTTTGTTGGCTCAAGCTCTTTTGTTTTTTCTTTGGCACTGCCTTTGCCCGCTTGGGTACCTGGTTTCTTCAAAACCTGTTTTGGTGTCCTCGCCTTCTTCATCACATACTTTGGGTTCTTTGGGGAGCTGCACCTTTCCTGCAGGCTTTTTTGGGCAGCTGCTTTCTGTACTAGTGTCGCTTTGGGTTGTGCTGTTGCTTTTGCCTTGGCGTTGCCTCCTCTTCATATCTGTCTCCTTCCTCCTTCAGTTGATGCTGAGTCTGTACAAAGCCAAGTGCTCCGTCAGCTTTGGGATTGACACCCCAAAGCTGTCCGACGCATGGTCGCAAGCGCTGCCTCGCTCGTTTTTGCGCCGCCTTCACGACACCGTCACGGATTTCTTCCACCTCCAAGCCATTCACCTGAGAAATCCGCAGCTACGTGACCGGTCGGGTCGACGGTTTTCCGTGTCGTTTTTGGGGGAATGGAAGGAGAGTTTGACGGTAGGCTTTGACATGGCGGTCATTTTTGGCTGGTGCAGTCATCTGCCCAAACACCTGAACTGCTCGGAAGCAAAGGAAACTCCAAGACATACCAAGACCAGCTCCATACACTTGGAGGAGTACGAACTAAACTCAAAGTGGGTGACCTATTCTACAAAGAAAACAAACATCTCCTGTTTTGAAGACTAAAAAAGGCTTGACTCACACAACCTAGTGAGAGCCCTTTTCTTAGTCCCTGCGCCAGCTCTCTCAACCGGAGCCCCAAGCGTCTGGCACCCAAACGATCCTGGGCACCACGGATCCGGGACAACGACGACGACAACAACTGCTGCTACTACTGCTACTGATGCTCCCACTACTGATTGGTGGTTTCAACTCAATTGACACATATCCGTATCCGTGGGATCAATCATCTCGAGTAAGTTAAGGCTGAACAAAAAGGAACAACATATAACATACTTAATTTAATATCCCAAAACCACCCCCAACGAATGTTATTGTCAACAATGGATGGCCCATCAAGGTTTAGATTTCTTTGAAGCGACCCCTGCGGTGCTCCGGTGCTCTAAACTTGGATGCCGCTGTAAGATCCGTTATAACATGCCCTAAGGATCCAAGTACCGTCTGAGAAGGTGTTTGGGGTGGGTTTGGAGGGTCCAAGTACCTTTTGAGGAGGTACTTGGATTCCTAGGGATGGTGAAACCACGAATCAGGAGTCATTTCATGGCGAGCACGCGCTGCGTTTGCGTGACCACTCACCTAGCCAGTGCGTGACCACGAATACCCCTCAAGCAAAAATATCGCGAGATGTGACGGGGTGTGACTAATTAGTGGCCGCCTACTCCTGGCTCGCGTCCTGTCTACTCTTGAGAGCTCCTGCTCCTACCTAGCTACGAGCTCCATCACGCACAACCTCCACGCGGTGCCGTTTCTCTGGGTGCCGCCGACCAAGTGCACCGCCCGCAGTCTTTGTGCATGCGGTGTGTTTGGAGCCTCTGTGGTGCTCAGCTCCTGGCATGAAACATCAGGAGGCAAAAGCTAAAAAGCTGGCCTCACAAATGAGCGCCTCTCAGTAGGGATTATGGACCACCGAAACTCATGGGAGGTGTAATAGTGTAATATTGTTGTCCTCCTGACACCGACTTGGATGGAGGCATAGCATGCCTTTCCTTTGGACTGATTGGGAGTTTCATCACTGATTAGGAGATAAAAGAGGGTGACAATTGACCGTCCCACACTGGCCTTCCATGGACTTCCTAATTCGACCGCGTGATCCACATAAATGTTGCACGAACATGGCATGAACTGGGGAAAAAAACACACATTCTTCCTCCTGAAGTATATGCCTAAAAACAACAAACATGAACAAAACATCATAGCAAAACACTTCTCAGGACCAGCCCAACTGCTTTTGGCATTCCACCAACCTCTTCCCCACTCGCACAACCCAAAGTCACATGGCTTCTCTCTGCGCCTGCAGCTCCCTTAGCCTGGTATGTCGACAGGGCAAACGATCGGCACACACCATCCTCTCCCATCCCTTGGACTCTACAGCCCACACCCTCGGCCCAGTGTGATGATTCAAACCCAGGGTGTGATGAACTGTTTCTTCTCAAAGAAGAAACGCCATACCAGAACCGCGCCCGACCTCCAACAGGTCTCCGATGGCTGGAGGTTTTTTGGGAAGGGCTCTAACAGGTTTCAATTGATGACCTGTTGGTCGTCGGGTGCTGGTATGGCGTTTCTTGTAAAATGGACCCTTGGGATCTGAGGTGAAGCTTCGCATTGTCGAACCGACGTCCTTGGAGTCGGTCCACTGCGGACCTACATGTGCGGACCGCCAGCTGCGCCAGTTCGGTGGGTGATTCCAAAGCTTCCATAGGCAGGGTGGTGACCCTGGTGGTTTGACAAGGTGTCCTCTAGCCGACTCTAGCGAGTCTTGTCGACCTCAAAGGGACATTGACCTCAAATCCCCACATCCTTGTCTCGAACCTGGAACCCACAAATCCACCTCTATATCATACTTCTGCCAGCAGCTACGACATACAAAGTGATCAATCACAATACATCTGGCTCCAACACTTGAGATCTCTCGTTGCTTTTGATCGGCTCGGCACCTCGCCTTTCGCTTTCCAGTGCCTCGGTCGCGCGACTCCCATCGATCAGGGGGATCCTTTCGGGTGATCTGAGAACACCAGAAAGTCAGGGCAAGGCCAGGCTATCTCATGGCATAGCTTGACACGAATGCAAATGACTGGAATTCTTAGTATAGAACCAATAAGTAATATGCATGACCAAAATTGTCAATGTATAGTCAATCAAACCTACATAGAAGTTCATGAGGAATGAGCATGCTCACTAGACCCAAGAACACGACTGATACAGCATAATTATACCAAATATGACTTGCCAAGTTGCCAAGTTGCTTGAACTACACTGAACACCTTCCCTATGATGTCCAAATGCGGTCACTTTCTGAAGCAGCTGGATGAAATTCGGGCACCCAGCCTCCACCACCGAAGCATCCTGCAAAAGGCAAAGGATCCCAGAATATGGCAGGGCTAATGGCCAACATTACTAGACCCATTCGGAATAACTGAGTAATACTCACTTCAGATGAATCTATCTTCTTTCACATTCACTTCCGATGGGGAATGGTCTTGGGGTCCCCCCAACAAATTCTACCTCGAACGGTGCACCACACACGTCGAACGATTCGTTTGCCGGCCCGGCGGCCCCAATGTGAGGGGTCCGAAGATCGAGAATGATCGAGAATGATCGTTTTTTTCCGGGGCTTCCGGCGGCTTCCGGGTTCTGACGGAAGATGATTTGGAGAAATTGATCTGGAGAAACACTGGAGAGGAAAACATCAAGCAAAACCATGGATCGCCCCAAAAGAACTACGGGCTTCCAAACACACACGGGCCAATGGCCCTGGTTGCTTTGGAGAAAGTACTGCATTGGCCTCAAACGCACAGAATAGCTGCATTGCTCACCCCAAAACCACCGGTATCCCCTTGGCCCCTTGTCTTGACTGGAGCAGCGTGCGGAGCATGGAGCGTGCTGTGAGCCTCACCGTCGGACCACTCTAGGGAGTAGAGGTAGCCCGCCTCCGGGTTCGCGACGAAGGAAGCGGGCTAAGCTAAGCGAACCATGTCCAGTGATGGTAGTGGATCCTCTGGTCATTGGAAGATCTGATCCTCTGGTCATGTGAAGATCTGCTTCTTTGGTCATCGGAATGTCACTGATTCGTTGATATTCTTTGGGTCATCTGAATGGTCATCTGGACAAGAACAAGATAGAACAAGCATTCCAGGGATCGACTCCGTGGGCAATCTGGGGGTTTTTGGAGAGGAAGAAACGAGTGAAAGACCTCTGCAGCTAGTGATCTGAATCTTTGCATGTTTTGCACCTTGGTGCATAATGTTCGCAAACACACCCGTGGGGTTAAAGAAACCACTCAAAATGCATGTTTCTTCAGAATCGTTGGAACCTGCTAAGCAGCATTAAACTCATCAGTTCTCCAGTTCACCACGGGCGACCAGCCTCACCTCAATTCGTCTTCCCGTTTTCGACCGAAACCTTCAGCGACGTGGTCGGCCTTCTCTTGCACTTCGCGCGCCACTTCCTTCTCACAACGCTCCAACAGCCGGACGGCCTGCGGTTCGGCTGTCATCGAGGCGAATAGAGGTTTGGGGACCATGGTCACATGTGTTGCAACCCCAAACAATGTGGCTGCAGCTTTAAATCCACTTGGTGCAGGAACAAATCATCTTCCAAACCCTTTCGAGGTTTTGATGCAAACTGTTTTGTGATAACAACGGGCCTGCAAGTCCCAACATGTGTCAGCCATCAGTTGCCGCGGCCTCCTTGTTGGCAGGCTCTTGCTCCACCACCAGCCTAAAGTCTGGTGTGTTCTCGCTAAATGAAAAGGTGCTGGGGAGCTGAAGGATTCCAGTCAATTCACACCTGACCTAGATCGCTTGTAGTTTGTTCATCTTTCAGGCCAACCCTCGTGAAAGAATGCGTACAAAGACTGTTTTGGTCTTGGTGTCATGCACATGCATATACACATATCTTGGGGATAACGAGAAAACGGATTGCTATCCAGCTTCGTGTCATACTGACCATGCCATGGATTCACTGGTACAGCAGTATGAGTGCTGCATTCCTCAATCTGATCATGCAAGGCGAGACAGTTCTGACATTTGTCCCGGTTCTTGGTTGAAAAAAGGACACACGACAAGACATGCACGACCTGCAATTGGAAGTCTGGGATTTGGCGAGACTCTGCAATGGGCGTGGCGCACCTCATCGCGTGCCGTTTCTTTAAACACTGGGAAGTTCTTCTCAAAAATCTGTCAACCCGTCAAGACCACAAACAATCTGGAAATTATCACATGCATTCTCCCAAGTGCTCTCGCTAAGCAGGTCAGACCCCTCTCGAACCCCATTAACATGGAAACTGTTGGACTTGGCATAACAATAATGTTCCATTTCTCAGCGTGGCACCCCGTCATTGAAAAAGGAGACGGCTTCGACCACGATCAAAAACCCATGCTTAGCTTTCTACCTGAGGGAAACCGCGGTGCTTGCGCTACGCATCGCCTGCCGTCAAAACAACGAGTCGTGCCGCGGCAATCCAAGCGCTTCGGACGTCAAGTCGTGGAGGGCAATCGCAAAGTCGCCCAAGCGAAACCGTAGAGCTCCGACCTACCGCGGCGGGGGATCCGCCTGGAAGGGGGGTTCGTAAAGCTGACAGGTGGGACACCGCCAAATAAAGGGGTTTGGACATGGGGGTAAACCTCTTAAAAAAACAAAACTTGTAGATTTTGACAAAAACCATCAAAAAAAGCGGTGGATGATCATTCCCCATCTGTTTCCAAGCACAACCCATCGCATATACGCAGCACACGCGCCTCCAGCAATCGACTCACCTGCGCCATTGAGGGTCCAAAACCCACCGACAGCCGGGACCGAGATATCAGACATGAACCCTTTGTTTTTGCAGCGTTTCCTTGTTTCGATGACTGTTCAACAACCACAATCATGACAATTTGGATAACGTTTCTTGCATTTGCCTCTCCGTTTCCATGATGGGGATCAAATGGCCCAAAGAGTTGCGGCAAAGAGTTGCGGACACTTTCCATGTAACTGTGGGAATGATTCTTGAGGACGGAAATGCCCCAAGCGCATGGCTGTTACGGAAACCACGTACGAGGTACCGGCGCTGTTAAGGGCGAGGCCCTTCAGAATGGCACGTCGCAATGGCAACGAGAAAAGCACGAGAGGCGTACAGATTTCAGAGATCCTTTTATCCCCAGTGGAACTCCGGTTACCACGGTTAGGATTGGTATTTTGTTGGAAACACGCACAATTCGAATCAATTCGAAACAACTCTTCGGAGATGACTGCCAAGACTCAAAGTCTGCGCGGCCATTTTTTCTCAGACAGGTCCTTAGCCTTAGTGCTTCTTCCTCCACCGGGCAGCCAACTTGGCGAGAGAATCCTTGAGATTCCCTCCGTGGTCGTCCCGCCAACAGATGCTCCACACATACACACCTATTTGCTCAGAGTCTCTTAGAGACTCAGGGTCTCTCGACGGGCAAGGCTGGACGGCAAGTACCGCTTGAGCTGACGCCAGACCTGGTTTAGTTTTTGAGCGCAGCCGATCTTCTTCTTCGTTCTTGTTCCTATATAGCACCTGACATGCCCCCGTGAACTCCATCTTGTACTTGGTGAGTGGTTCTTGGTTATGGAACTTATAAGTTGCGTATAACCTAGCTGTAACATATTTGTAACCTACTTGTAAGTTAGACAAGTTCTGTAAGTTCTTAAGTCAATTTATGCAATTTAAAGTATATTTACAAAACTAAGGCAAATTAGTATCTAGCATAAGTTTTTCTTGCAAAAACATTGAAGATAACTTAGAAACAGCTTAGAAAGCTTAACTTTTTGCTGTCAAGAATTATACTTTTTCATTTTTCAATGTTGTTTAAGGTTTGAAGTTTGCTTGTGTTTTCTTTTTAGCTTCTTTCTTTGATTGTTTTCTATCCCACATACATATGGCTGGCGGCCCAATGCGCAGCTACAATACCCCACCATGGCAAGTTGTTCTCTTTTTGATACACCTCTCACTCCACCATCCAGGCAATCTCTTGTGCAATTCCGCTTGGGAATTGATGACACAACACCCACTCGCAGAACCGCAAGTGGTTCAAACGACCTGTCAACTTGAAAAAACACTGTTCAAAACATGTGTATCTCATTTGGTCTCGCCTTCCTCCTGCCACCGCCGCTCCCAGTCTAATTCGCCGTAGGCATCAAAGGGATGCCAACCCTGTGGCCCCGAAAACCCGCATTCACCCACGGCCTCACAATCAACAAGAAACTAGGCCAATTTCAACATAATCGCCAACCACAACGGTTACCTCTGTCCACAACCACCACTCGCCCCCAAAATACCACCACCACGCACTGCCGTTCCAAAAATATGCCTGCACCAGCGGCCACGGCCAAGTTGTGCTGTATTTCCTTTTTCCTTCAGAGCAAGCAAGCCTCGGCCTTTGGCTTCGAATTGCCCATAACGCGCGCACAAGTCAACAACCGAAGAAGTTCAACAGCGATGCTGTAAATATAAATTGCCGTGACAATCACAAAGCTTGGTTGGGCTTCTTCCTGCACACCCGAAGCGAAAAGGCATACATGACAAGTGTTTTAATCGAAGATTCCAACGGTCAGGGTCAAGAAGCGTATTCAAAACAAAGTGCTCCATGTCGTTGACACTCCAATTCACAAATTCCTCTTGAAGAACTACAGCTGCTGCAGGATGCCTGAGCAGATTCCACACACACACACATGGGTGTGTATTTTTTTACCGTAGTCGGGCCGGGAAGTTTGAATAGGTGGTATGATTCGCAGCTTTGAAGTCGTATTGTTGGATTAGCTGGACTTCCAGCAGTGGGCCCACTCTGCGACGAGGCAGTTTTGTGACTACGAAGAACTAGAAACAACTTTGTATAACTAAGACCTAACTAAGTTATAACTTCCGCCTAACTACACCCGGTTTACTTATAACGTACTTACATCTAACTTGTTCTATCCTTACTAAGTTATAACTTTATGTTAAGTTCCTTAAGTAATAACATATAGTTTCACATACTTATCCTAATACAAGTTCTGTTATCGAAATACAAGTTTACTTGATAGTTCCCTAACTAAAGTTACAACTCACTTATAACTAAGAGATTATAGAGGCTGTCAGCGATAAATTCCAAGCAATTCCAAGAAATTTGAATGTTCCAATCCAATGTTCGAGTTTTTTTGCAAAAAATCTTCCAAATCCAACATACAAGTTGATTTAGGACTTTTGTATAGCATCAGGTCTACCCTTCGACGACCAATGAACAAAGTTTAACCGGGGCAATCGCCAAGTGAGTTGAGCGAGTTGCTTCCCCCTACCTCTCCTGCAACTCAAGCTTATGCCACGATCAAGGTAGCTGCATGGGGCTTCGGGTTCAGGCTCTCGAGCAGAAACAGACCACTGGTCGTGTTGCGTATAGCAACCCAGTGGTCCTTCTCCGCATATAGTGCACCAGTCCGCCGAGGGACACCGGAGCCTGTAATTCCGTCGCCCTGTCCACTATATAGGGAACCACTTCCCATCTTCGCTGCAGCGTGACCCCCTGCAGATGAACCAGACTCATCAAAGCCTCGATGCTGCAGTCACCTGAGGGGGACACGTGCATATCGCGGGTGTCGCCCAGTCCCGAGCCATTTCGCTCCTGCGAGCACCAAGGATGTAGAATCAATGTAGAAAGGACTTCGATTTCGTCTATAAAGTAGTGGGGTCATGGTTTCTTTTTAGCACTCTGCAACACGAACTGCGAAATTGCCGCCCCAAACACACGTTTTTTGGCCGAGTGATTTGCAATTAGAGTTCAATTTTCACACGATGGACGTTACACCTATACTTTCACGCGCCCCTACTGAAAATTGAAGCTTCAACACCGAGCAGGCTACCGCTATCCTGGCCGAGCTGAATCGTGTTGCTTCGGAAAGAAACATGTTTTCGTTCCAGGCCCGGAGAAATGTCGCGTTGCAGTGAATGCATTGGCGGCAAACAGCTCATGCCTTGTTTGTGTGCAAATCTTGCATGTAGCCAGCAAGCGTTCACTATTTCTGCTTCTCATATCAGTTCCAGATTACTTTTCTCTCATATTGCCAGCCTTCTTCCCAAAAGCGTGCTTGCGCCAAAAGTGATCTATAAGTCCTCCGGATTTATGGGTCCACCTATACGTCCCCTCAGCCTCTTTTGGAAGGGTATGGCGAAAGGTCGGCGCAACTGCATCTTTTTAACAAAGGTGAAACGAACCGTTGAGATGTAAATCATTTGAAAGCAAAGCAGGGATAATCAACAGTTCGCAGTTGTCTTCGTTGGCAGGAGACCCCCCAGCTGGCTCCGGCGAAGTCTACCTGAGATTATAAAACTGCAAAAGAAGATAGAGTGCACCCCATCATATCAAACTTATGAGGCTATGAGGTGTCCACTTCCTTTCTGCTCAGCTGAGCGGACAAACAAATCCTCTCCAGGAACTTGGATGAACTTGGCTTGTTGACACGGAATCAGACTCTTATATAGTTGCTTTACCGGATACAAACTCGTCCACCTCACCGAGTTCCCCTCTGTTTGCAGGGAGTCCTGGCATTTGGGGGCCATTCAATCGGAACATCTGGGCCGGCAACTGGGCTGCGGTGGCCCTGTTTTCTTTTGCAACAAAAGCACCTAGGACCTAGACCACATAGAACCCCCTGGGGAATGTGAAGCATCCCCAGGGGCTATGGTAGCTGCATGAGCGTCTCTTCCCCTCGTCTCTTCCAGTTACACTGCCCTTTTCCGCGCCTTGGAGTCCTTCGACTCCTGGAAGAGGCCCCGGCTCCGACCAGGGGTCACACGCGAGGAATTCATCAGGGGGTGGGTTGGGACATCACCCGTGCCTCCGTAAACGGTCTCGCCCTATGATGGCTCTTGTCACCTTCTTCACCAACCCCCCTTCTAGAGTGACCTACGAAACTGGAGAGAGACTGGCTTCTGAGGATGGGCTGCTACAAGCACTGATGCGAATATCACCAATGAACCAAAATCCTGTAAGCCCACTTAAGGAGTACAGCACGTCCGCATTCTAAGCCACCTGATTCTATAACCCGAGAGCTAAAGGCATCCAACGTGTTCTCTATGGTGGGATCCAGTGGCGGAGTGTGGGAGACAGGAAGACCTCCCAGGCGTTCCTCTTCAAATGCACATCCAAGTTGGAGTAAACTTACTCTATAGCTCAGGCCACCGCCCAGCTGTTTGAAGCACCCCCAGCCGCCAAACTGCCAAACTCTCGTCTCCTGCCACAGCTTCTGGGCCAACAATGCTTCGAGCGCTAGCACCTGCGCGGAAGACACAGGACTCTGGACACACAGAGCGAGTCCTTCGAGCACAAGCGAGTCATGTGCTTGGCTCATCAGCTTCATTCACCTAGAACGCAGCTGACACCGGACTCTTGACAGGGTGTTTGACCATGGGTGGCTGGCACTCCAACAAAGCTTCAAGGTACCATATTAATCCATACCATGCTTTTGAGGATTGCGGGAATTCCGTCATGATACCCTGTTCTTTCACCAACGGTCGACGATTTTTCAGAACATATAGTGCACTATAAGTAACCGTAAATAGCCCACATGTTTGTTCACATGAAACCGATCTTCTTCCCCTCAACATCATTGCATCTCCACCTCAATTGGAGACTTCTTCTCCGACTCATTGGTCGGATCGGTCCTAAGCCGGCACGAGGTGAGGTGAACCGATGGCCGTGGGCAGTGGACCGCGAACCAGAGATCAGCGTTGTTACGTTAGACTCCAAGCCTACCGAGAAGTGGTTCTACTTGCAAGAATGCATCTTACATCATCTTACGTCTCACCCTCTCGCCTCTCTATCATTGTTACAATAAGAAGTTTTGGGCTGCTCTAAATCAACCGTCCGACTGTCAAACATGGTCGTACTGCTAGTGATCCACAGCTGTGGATCATCTGGACGGGACTTCTTCGGGTGAAACGGAGGGATCGCTCACCGCCCCGATCATCCACGGTCTGACGGTCTGGGTCGAACACGTCAACCACTCCAGAAGTTGTGTGACACGTGGGTTGTACTGTGGTGCTTGGAGAAGTCTATCTCTACTTCAAATTACTTCAATAACTCTATCAGAAAAATGAACATCAATCAATTCACCCCTTATGATCCTTCGGATAAGCACTCGAATGTACACCCGATTTCTAGGGTGTGTCAGCTCATTTCCAGCATCACTTGGGGTGATGACATGATTCATGCGTTTTTGGAGGATTTCATCGTCTCTTTCCAAATCCATCCACTGTTCCACCGCCTCTGCCGGGTGCCCAGGCAGTTCCAACCCCAGCTGACCGTCGCTCAGGAGGAGCGCCACAGTCACCGAGAGCTCCTGGAGAGAGAGCGTCACGCAAGTCGCTCCGAAATAAATCTACGGATGGAACGGCACATGAAAAGGGCCACCTTTTCAAACTGAATGACACATGTCAAACAAGGGTGGAGGAAACCTTTCAGGAACTGAAAAGGATGGAACGGCCCATGAACAGTTAAAGTGCCACCTTTGTTTGACATGTGTCGATGTGCCGCTTTGATGACTCTTCGGTCACAGGGTAACTTTAAAGAGATTGATATTTTAGATGTAGTATGATGTATATTATTCTTTTCGGAGGGATGGGCTTGTTAGATGCATTCTTTAGAAGTATTATGAGTTACCAACGAATGATGATGGATTTGTTTCCAACTCTGCAACTTCAGTTCATGTATATAATTACCACCTTAACCAAGTCCGCAGGGGAACCACCACCCAATCCACTGCCCAGGGCGCGGCGGATGCGGCGACCTCTGACAGCTGCTGCCCTTGGAGTTCCGGAAGATGTTCCTGCGACGTGGCTGGAGCAAGATCGGTGGTGGGATCCAGTATGACATAGTATGACTCTGTCCAGTGAATGAAAAGCCTAGTTGAGACTTAATGATCTAATATGATCTATATAAAATATGCAAAAAGGCTATGTGCTTGTTGTTGAATAAGTACCAGGACACCCATTGGCCTGGGCCTGAAACCGCGCTTTCAGAGTCTGGAGCACCTCCGGCACCGGTGCAACGGTCCAGCTCAGCTTTTCCTTCCTTTGTGGTTGAAGAAAAACGTTGGAAACACGGTGATCAAGGCAAGTAAAGATCACAAGAACCATACCATAATTAGAGTTGCTGAACGGCCAGCTGATCAAAAGGCACCTGTGGACCAATGACCATAAGTCAACTCCTCTGTCATCTTCACCAAACTTGCCTCCAACAGCGGCTCCACTGAAGGCTGATATGCCCGCATCGTGGGAACCGGCGGTGCAGGGGGTGAGGCGGCAGACAGTGCAGCGTGCTGCACTTCCAGGGCTCCTGGTGCAGCACGGGCAAAGTCTTCCTCGAGCAGATTGGGTGTGCTTTGAGAAGACGCTCCTCTACAATATAAAGGACACATATCGATGTGTTCTTTCAAACAAGACACAAATACAACATCTAAAAGAACAAACAAGAACAAGCACAGAAGTCTTAAAATGTCTTAAATGATCTTAAATTACTTGTGCGCCTCCAAATCCTACTATAAGACTGATCTCTGCCTTTCGGGGCTGTTCTTCCCCACCACACCGCTCCGGCCCCTTGTCCCAGCTCCTTCCAGCACCTGGTCGGCGCCAGCCCCCCCCACCGGCGGCTGTTCACCCAAGGAAGGCGTGCGAAGGCAGTGTCAAAGGCGGTGTCTGGCCGAAAGGTTGGTGTCATTCGGCCAATTCCTCGCTTCAAGGGGATCGAATTGGTTCCAATTGCCCCGAATTGCTGTTCCTATAGGAGCGATGAAAAGGGTCAAATGCGTTGGCTTGTCCAGGAGGTAGTCACCTACTAGGTGCCACATTTTATTGAGGGAACACCAGCAGAATTGCTGAATACTCGACATCCATCTTGTGCTTCCAACAGCTCGGGGCAAAAGAACCGGACGTCGTCGTGAGTCGAAGGTGCCCCGGGTGTTCCGCACTCGACGCACTCGCTGAATTACACTCTAGATCTACTCCGTTGAATCCTTGTGTACTCTACATTTGTACCCTTATACAGGGCCCTTAATTGGAGTGGAAGACTCCAGTCGACCACTGGTGGTCTAAGGTCCCCCACCTTCCTCTCATTCTCCAGGAGCTGAATGCACATCGACTCCCGTTCCGTCGCCGTCGCTCGGGCCAGAGAGGGTCTCCTGGGCGGTGAAGACACACACCTGGGGAGGCCTGAAACTGCTGAAACCGCCAACACTTCGACCAACATGCATTGAGGTTACCACTCCCTGTCACAACCCGATCAGTTTGGAAGAAAATGCCTATTGACTATTGAAATACATTTCTCAAAACTGGACCGGAATTGGGTATTTGCGCCCTGCTTGTCTAAGCCAAGCAAGGAGCAGCCAGTCATGGGAACATGCCTTTCAGCCAGTGTAAACCACAAGTTCGACTCACATGTCTACTGTCTACTTTAAGCTGCAAAAGATTGAACTTCGCTCCAGCTTAGTCCTACTTTTGATTGCATTCCGGAAAATCCTTCGAGGGAGCACGAGGGATCTTGACGTTCCCTTTGGCCAATCAAACCAATTGGATATTAAAAAACTAACAGATAAGTGAGATGAATCAAAAACCTTTACAGGACATGAGACTAATTAAGTCATATTATAAGTCATATTAAACATCTTTTTTGGAGGAGATCACCTTGAAACCCAGCGAATCGCTCCAGCGGGAGCTTCAGGCTTCGGTTCTCAAGCACCGAGCGTCGGAAGCTGTTCCAAGGTCCTCCGAATGGCCTGGCATTGGTTCCATGGAGCAGTTCACCATCCATGGTGTTCTTTGTTGGTTCTTTGGTTCCATGGTGTTCCCCCCAAAAGGACAGGTGTTCATGGTCATGCTTGATTCCTGCGAGAACTCGGAATTAAGCATGCAGCATTTGCAGCATGCAACTCGCTCACAAAAATCGATGAACAGAAAGGACCGGGACTGCACCGATCAATGTGCTTTGCTTTCTCGTTTTCTTGCTTCCTGCGTTGATTAGATTCCCTCTGACTCTTCAGAACAGTCAGATGTGCGGACTTCTGCAAACCTGGGGCTTTTCCCAAGGCTCTCATATGAGGGACTGAACTGGCTGAGTCTTCGCCAGTGTCGAAGCACAGAGAAAAGAAGGTGTACCACTCCGACCAATGCAATCAAGAAGAGTTCCAAACCGTAGGAAGGGCCTACCCACACCATGATGACCAAGCCAAAGAGCGTGTAAGATTCTGCTAAGGTGATGGCTGTGGCACCCATTGCAGCAGCTTGGCCTTTCATAAACTGAACGGTGTCCTCATCAGTGAAGGAGTTCACGTAAAAAAGGTTGATCACACAATAAAGCACAGTCTGGACGCAAGCACGGATGCAAATGAGACACAAGGTTACATAAGCTCGCTTTGCGTGCATCAGGGACAGTGGGTCCAGGCAGAAGCCATTTGGTGCTATTTCTTGGACACTTATGAGCAATCCTGCAACGGTGGTCATCACTAATGCAGTTGTCACAGATATCGTCTCGAAGGATTTGCACACCGTTTCTTTGAGATTTGCCTGTGGGCAATGCTTCAGCAGGTCTTGACCGAGTTTTGCTGCCAAGCACATCCGCAGGAGTGTATGAAGAGCATAGTAGGATGCTGTGATGATGGTAGGTGCAAGCCAAATATGATCACCACGCCAGCCTCGATCCCCAGCTTCAATTGAGCAATTGACACCATTAACTGTAGAAGGCCAAAACAAACTTTGCGTGGCTTCCTGCATCTGCAAAACGCATCCAATACAGGAAGCTGCAAGGCACAACACTATATACCTAAATCTAAATGTGATGGCTGCGGGAGTGAAACAATAACACCTTTAGTTGGTCAATCATGCATGCTCAATGACATGAAATGCTTCACTGCTTCAAGCACCGACATCAACACACAAACCAATCGTGGTGCCGTTCCGGGTCGGGGGAATGAATTATGAAGATTTAGCTGCTAGGGTCAGGTGGTCAAAGGGGGAAGGACGGCACAGCTTTTCGCTGCCAACAGCCCAACAGGCCGAGGTGATTGTGGGTCTTGTGGGTCATGGCAGTAGACCGATGTGCAACCCTGGTGCCATATATGTGCTAACACATGTATACACATGTACATGGCAAACCTCGCCACTGGCCAATCCGACTGTCGGGTCTTCCATGTTAAACCTGGGCGACTTTTGGAATGGAGCGTTTAAGTGATGTTGATTGATTCCCATCTTCCCAAAATGTCTGAAATCCGCCACCCTGCTGGCCAACTACTTTGACCAAACAAAACCCTTCCCATGACGGACCGCTCGGTGGACCCAGGAGAAACTTCCGGTTGACCCCTGATTCCAGCATCACCTCCTATATATCATTATATTGTATATCAACATTTGCCTGTGGGGGAAGAGCATGTTAAATCAGCTTAACATCTTCGGACGTGGCTTGGTATTGGTTTCTTTCGTTGAAGGGGACCAGACTCCGGACCTCGGGGCCTCTAGGGCTAGGGCTAGTGGCTTCTCATCTCGGTGACCCGGTGCGTGGCCGACTCGCGCCTCTTCCAGGACTCGTCGCCCACGGTGTTCACAGGCGGCTTCTCCCATGACATCATCCCAGGCGCCTCGAGCAGGTCGGTGAAGATGGGTGGTTTTTCATAGATCGGGATCCACTACAGGAACTATAGACAGTGGATCCAGCTACAACTGGACGTATTCGAGGGGCCACTATGTCACTATGTCACGGGTTTTTCTTCGTTTGCTCGTCAATCCCCAATAATTCGTTCGTGGTCCTTGAGGTTGTCAAGACCTGGCTTTAAGCTACCTGGAAGGTGCATCACTACAATAAAACTGCAAGTTTGCAGCGCCTGAGCCTGGTCCAAAAATTCACTCTTCCCGCAAAGGACATGTCTCTTTTTGAAAGGTCACTACCTACAGGCCCAGCAGATTTGGTGATGTGCTTCCCCAATTAGCCCTCTTTGGACATTTTGGCCATTCAACGCTTAAGCCATCAGTTCTTGGCAAGCGACATTCCAGCATCATCATGTCCTGAACAGGAGCTGCTCATGTCCAGGTGTTGCTCATGTGTTGCTCATGTGCAGAATCTAAACATCCAAAAACCCTTTTGGAGCCGCCATCAGCCGCCAATAGCTCCCCTCTCCATAGCTCACGCATTCTTGGCGGAATAGACCGAACAGCTCCGTCCTTGCGTTTCTTCAGATCCATCAAAGACAGAAGCCCCAAGAGTTGCAAACCTCAGCAGCAGTCACACCTGGGTCACACCAGACCTGGGCCACACCGCCTATAGGGAGAGGCCACACCAGGCCTGGTTCATCCCCAAAAATCAAGTCCTAACCAGACTGCAGCTTCACCATATCTACAGGAGATAGGTGGACCATCTTCCCACTTTACAAGGCAAGAAAGGGAGGAATAAACAACTTGAGGTCGAAGCTGCAGCCTGCCAGAACTTCCAAAGGAACCGTCTGTCTACCAAATCAGAGACCATGATAATGATACTCCACCCACACTGCGCCCACGTTCATACTCACCATCCACGTTCATACTCCCGCTGTCGCACCCACCCCACCTCCCCAATCTCCCCTCAAACAAGGCTGTTTGACAGAACACACCTGCAACGCTCCCTCCCGTGTTGATATTCAGAATAGTCTCATCCTCAGCTGAATGTTCACCTACCATGGTAGTCGAGCTGCTTTCATATTTGACCCAAAACATGAACATGCCTCCTGCCAAAACGTCCAAGACTCTCCCCATCCTCACTCCTCACCCCATCCTCCCTCTTGGCACCGAGACTCTTCGGCTGCTGGGACCCTGGAGATCCAGGCTCACTCGCACCTCCCAAGCGCCGTCCTCGCCCTCCCGCCGCACCACGGCGCCAGTGCCCAAGGGCGACGGGCGGAGCGGCAGTCCTCGAGCGGACGAGATGGGCACAGTTGAGGTGTTGTGGGGGTGAAGATCTTTGGAATATGAAGAGAAAAGTATACAGTACAAAGTTGAACATGGTAAATGATGAAGTGACCGGTCGTAACGCTCGGATATGTTTGTTCAGGTTTTGGTCTTTGTTGAAGATCTCAATCATGAAGAATAAAGGCTGCATTTTTTTGCCAGTACTGCGGCGCAGTGAACTTCCAATGGATGATTTTGGAAGGTCCAGGTTTTTCAACTGGATCTAGGTCGCAGGTGTGAGTTGTCTACATTTACACTTTGCCAGCTGCACCTTCTTGAGAGCTGCAGCTTGGGCATGGCTCCAAACGCAAGCAAGGGGTGTCTTTCCGGCCGCTGACACAACGACATCCGAACATGACTTCTGGATGCAGGGCATACCGTTAGGCTTTTTGCGGGGTCTCGTCTTCTGAGAACGCTGTTGTTTCAACCATGTGTTGCCGAACCGAACCGAACCGAAACACCCATGTTTGCCACAAACAAAGAAAGCATTGTATCACCACGTCCAAACAAAGTTCGTCAATTCTCAGCCAATCACTTCTTGTGGACTTTGTGATTGGACTTGCCCGTTTTTACGTCCAAATCAATCTCGTCCACAGAATCAGCGGCTCAAACAACATGGTCTGCAGATTCCTCGATCTAAGACAACTGCTTGATGAAGACCCCCCCATTTGAATTGAACAATACTCTTCAATATGAATCATCATCTCACTTCATGACCTCGCTTTCATCCTATTTCGTCAGCTTCTGTCCTGCTCGCTGCACCGGCGGCCGCTCGCGCAGATCCCTCTGCAACGCCTCCTCCAGCTGCCCCGCCGTTTGCGCAAAATCCACCGCGCCCATCTCCAGGACCTCCGGACCTTCCGGGGGGCACGCCGCACGACCGGCGTCGCCGTTCCGCGGTGGCTCGACTCGGGAAGAGAGTGAATACAGGAGTTAATTAGAATTAACTCCGGTGTTAATTCTTCATCTTCAAGCCCTATTCAACCCTGCACTCGATGGGGAATTAACTCAAGAGTTGATTCCCTCAGCAACGTTGTGCACAAAGACACACCAAGAACGAATTAACACTGGAGTTAACTCTTTTCCTTGGGTTGGGTTTCTTGTTTCCTTCTCC